GCAGTTGCTTTTCCTGTTGGAAGGAAAACGTGAATATTGCCTCAGCGTTGACAGTACCATTGATAGACTTTTTTGGTGATAATGTGGGATGCTCCATGGACCTGGAAGAATAGCAATACTAGAGAAACGGCGAAGAATCGTGCGTTGTAGACAGTTATTCAACCTACTTTTGCCACACTGCCATCGTCCTGGACAAAGGGGGATGAGAAACAACCGCCTCCGCAAGAAATCGTACATTCCATGCCACCACTTTTGAAGAAACCTTAAGTCCAGATAGATGTCACCAATTAACTTAAATATCCTAGACTGACACACGGGCTTCGAGGGATCATTTCAAAAAAAAAACTATTGAAAGTTAGGTATTCCATGAGCAGCATACAAAGAAGTTAAAAACGGTGAATAAAGTCACTCAGTGAATGCAACACAAATTTGTTTACCCTATTTCGCCACCATTGAGAAACTAGGACCGCATTCTCACAGCTCACAGGCTCACATTTTATACAAAATAAATAAATAAATAGAACATTCTAACTGGGGCAGAAAGGCTTCTATTGAACGGGGTTATGACTTTCTGCATATTTGATAACTCACCTTCACGCATGCGGTATGAAAATCAGCTCTGAGACGGTACTCGTCAGGTAGAAGGGCTGGTACAACAAGTAGCCGGGCAAGGCAAGGGAGTGCAAGTTCGCATTTCTGGAGAAGATCCAGCAGCGATCCACGAAGCGGTGCACCAAAGTCAGCACAGCGGAACTGCTTGATTAAGGGCGTCAGTGCGTCCTGAGACAGTAAACCCGCTGATCGATGAGGAGATCTATAAGGAAAGCAATTCTTCAGATACATATTATATTAATATTCATCTTTGGTGGAGGTCGAACCTCAAGGCGACAATAGCTGCGAGATAGTCGGCAAGCCAAACGGGGTCCACGAAGATGAGCTGTCGCAAGGCAGCATCCTCAAAGTGGACTATTTCACCGCTGTCATGAAGAAAAGCACATACGCCACGAAATTCGATGTCGTCTCTGAAAGCAGCACATTTACAAAGGTTCTGCATAACGATGGTGCGGTAATTCGAGAGTACTGACTAATTACGTTCATAAACCACTACCTGAAAGTTCTTCCAAATTTTGAAACCATCCGTTGTTTCGTTCGATCGCGAAACTGCTCGGCTGTCATGATAGCCGATGTTACATCCCTACGTAAGTCAGCATGTAGTTCACGAACCACCTAAAGCTTGCTGAACTTGTCACTTATGAGAAGAGATTAGGGAAAACCATGGAAAAAACAACAAGTGAATTAAAAGCTCAAAAAATCGTTGCTAACTTTCAACATAGCGATGTAGGCGGACGGAATTTGCTGATCAAGTGCGCGTTCCTTGCCAATCCTGACTTCCCAGCCAGAGTTGTAGATCACATTCAACAGATTCTGAAAACAGTTACCAACTGGAGCATGATCTCGTTCAAATGGATTTCAAAGGCCAAGCAGATAATCTACGCATATAGCCGGCTGATCACGAACTACCTTGATGTCACTTTTCGCTTTCCCATTAACCAAAACAAGGTCTAGAAC